TCTAAACATAGTCATCAAATCACAAAAGAAGAGAACAAAAGAGGAAGGGAAGAAGAAAAAACCTACAGAAACAAATCCAAAAGAGTTAACAAAATGACAATTAAAAACATATGTATCAATAACTACCTTATATACAAGTGGATTAAATGCTCCAACCAAAAGACATAGAATGGCTGAATGGATATAAAAACAAAACCCATGTATATGCTGTCTGCAACAGACTCAGCCATACCTAGGGACACATACAGACTGAAATTGAGGGAATGGAAAAAGGTATTCCATGCAAATAGAAATCAAAGGAAAGTTGGAGCAGCATACTCATATCAGACAAAATAGACTTTAAAATAGAGACTTATAAGAGACAAAGAAGGACACTACATAATGATCAAGGAATCAATCCAAGAAGATATAACAATTGAAAATATTTATGCATCCAACGTAGGAGCACTTCAATATATAAGGCAAATACTAATGTCCATACAAGGAAAATCAATAGCAACCCAATAATAGTGGGAGATTTTAACACCCCACTTTTATCAATAGATAGGTTTATCTAGACAGAAAATCAATATGGAAACATAAGCCGTAGCTGACAGTTAGACCAGGTGGACTTAAGTGACATTTATAAAACATTCTATCCAAAAGCAGAAGGATACATTCTTCTCAAGTGCACATAGAACATTCTCCAGACTTGAATACATTCTGGGCCACAAAGCAAGCCTTCGTAAATTTATGAAAATTGAAGTCATATCAAGCATTTATTAAACCACAATACTATGAGATTAGAAATAAACTATAAGAAAAAACTATATAAAAACCACAAACATGTAGATACCAAACAATGTGCTACCAAGTAACCAATGGATCACTGAAGAAATCAAAGAGGAAATAAAAATTAGCTGGAGACAAATGAAAATGGGGGTAACAATGATCTAAAACCTATGGGATGCAGCTAAAGCAGTTCTTAGAGGGAAGTTTATAGCAATACAATCTTTCCTCAGGAAAAATCACAAATAAACAACATAACCTTACACCAAAAGCAACCAGAGAAAGAACAAACAAAACCCAAAGTGAGAAGAAGGAAAGAAATCATAAACATCAGAGCAGAAATAAATGAAATAGAAATGAGGAAACAATAGAAAAGAAACTAAAAGCTGGTTCTTTGAGAAGATAAACAAAATTGATAAACCTTTAGCTAGACTCATCAAGGATGAAAAGGAATGGGCTCAAATCAATAAAATTAGAAGTAACAAAGGAGAAGTTATAACCAACACCGTAGAAATACAAAGAATCATAAGAGACTACAAGCAACTATATGCCAATAAAATGGACAACTTGGAAGAACTGGACAAATTCTTATAGAGGTACAGACTCCCAAGACCAAACCAGGGAAAAATAGAAAATGTGAATAAACACAAAGAGTCTGACATGACTGAGCGGCTGAATTGAACTGAACTGAATAAACAAATCACAAGAATTGAAATCGAATGTGTTATTTTAAAATTCCCAACAAACAAAAGTCCAACACCAGATAGCTTCACAGGTGAATTCTATCAAACATTTAGAGAAGAGTTAACTTCTAAATAGTTCCTTTTAAAACTATTCCAAAAAAATTGCAGAGGAAGGAATACTTCCAAACTCATTTTATGAAGCCACCATCACCCTGATACCAAAACTAGATAAAGATACTACAAAAAAAAAAGAAAGAAATAAACATAGATGCAAAAATCATCAACAAATACTATCAATCTGAATCCAACAGTACATTAAAAGGCTTATACACCATCATCAAGTGGGATTTATCCCAGGGTTGTAATGATTCTTCAACATACACAAGTCAATCAATGTGATACACCATATTTGCAAATAGAAAAATAAAAACTGTATGATCACCTCAATAGATGCAGAAAAGGCTTTTGACAAAATTCAGCATCCTTTTATGATCAAAAAAAAAAAAAAACTCCAGAAAGACAAGGACAGACCTACCCCAACAGAACAAAGGCCATGTACAACAAACCCACAGCAAATGTCATTCTCAACAATGAAAAACTGTAAGAATTTCCTCTAAAATCAGGAACAAGACAAGGATCCTCACTCTCACCACTATTATTCAACATAGTTTTGGAAATCCAAGCCATGGCAATAATAGGGGGAAAAAAAGAAATAAAATGAAATAAAATGAATCTAGATTGGAAAAGAAGTAAAACTGTCACTGTTTTCAAACAACATGATCCTATACATAGAAAACCCTAAAGAAAATTATTAGAGCTAATCAATGAATTTAGTAAAGTTGCATGATACAAAACTGATGCACAGAAGACTTGCATTCCTAAATACTAACAATGAAAACTCAGATAGAGAAATTAAGAAAAGAGTCCCATTCACCATTGCAACAAAAAGAATAAAATACCTAGGGATAAACCTATCTAAGGAGACAAAAGATCTGTATGAAGAAAGCTATAAGATGCTGATGAAAGAAACCAAAAATGACACTAACAAATGGAGAGATATATCATGTTCTTGGATTGGAGGAATCAATATTGTGAAAATGACTATACTACCCAAAGCAACTTACAGATTCAATGCAATCCTTATCAAGTTACCAATGGTGTTTTTCACATAACTAGAACAAAAAGTATGTACAATTAGTATGGAAACACAAAAGATCCCCCTGCCAAAGCAATTTTGATAAAGGAAAACAGAATAGGCGGAATCAGTCTCCCTGACTTCTCAGACTATATTACAAAGCTACAGTTATAAAACTAGTATGGTACTGACCCAAAAACAGAAATATAGATCAATGGAAAATGTTTCTAGAAAGCCCAGAAATGAATCCACTCACCTGTAGTCAATTAATCTACCACAGAGGAGGCAAGACTATACAATGGAGAAAAGACAGTTTCTTCAATAAGTGGTTCTGAAACAACTGGGCAGCTGCATGTTAAAAGAAAAAGAAAGCAAGAAATTGGAACACTTTTTAACACCACACACAAAAATAAACTCAAACTTGATTAAAGACCTAAACTTGAGACCAGATACTATAAAACTTTTAGAGGAAAACATAGGCAGAATGCTCTCTGACATAAATCACAGCAATGTCATTTTTAACCCATTCCCCCAGAGTAATAGAAATAAAAAACTAAAATAAACAAATGAGACCTAATTAAACTCAAGAACTTTTGCACAGCAAAGGAAATGACAATCAAAAAAGGATTAGTATCCAAAATTTATGAACAACTCATATGGCTAAATACCATAAAAACAAACAACCCAATCAAAAAATTGGCAGAAGACCTTAATAGGCATTTCTCCAAAGAAGATATACAGATGGCAAAGAGGCACATGAGAAGATTAATTAATAGAGAAATGCAAATCAAAACTACAATGAGACATCACCTCATACCAGTCAGAATGATCATCATCAAAATAAAAAAAAAATCTACAAACAATGAAGGTTATAGAGGGTGTAGAGAAAGAGCAACTCTCCTACACTGTTGATGGAAATGTAGATTGGTACAACTACTGTGGAAGGATGGAGTTTCCTTAAAAAACTAAACTAGAGCTATCATATGATCCAGCAATCCCACTCCTGGACAAAAATCTGGAGAAACACTTGATTTGAAAGTATACATACACCCCAATATTAATTGCAGCACTGTTTACAATAGCCAAGAACAGAAGCAACCTAAATGTCCATGAACAATTATTTGGATAAAGAAATGGTACATATATACAATGTACTATTAGTTGGCCATTAAAAAGGATGGAATTATGCCATTTTGCAGCAACATGTATGGACCTGGAGATTATGATACTAAATAAATTAAGTCAAACAGAGAAAGACAAAAATTGTGTGAAATTTCTTATATATGGAATCTATTTTAAAATGATACAAATGTACTTATTTACAAAACAGAAACAGACTCACAGACTTAGAGAATAGATTCCTTGGTTACCTGGGCAGAAGGCCAAGTGGATAGATTGGGAGGTTAAGATTGACAAGTACACACTGCTAGATTTAGAATTGATAACCAAAAAGGACCTACTATATAGCACAGGGAACTCTGCTCAATATTCTGTAATAATCTAAATGGGGAATAAATTTGAAAAGTGATAGATACATGTATGTGTATAACTGAATCTCTTTGCTGTACACCTGCAAAAAATTTTAAGAAAATAATAATAAAAGAGGAAGAACAATCACCATCCTAGGGAAAGGGAAGAAGGAAGGGGCAGTGCATGGGCAGGGAGTTAAGCAGCACAACCTGTTAGATATAAAATAAGCTACAATGATATATTGGACAACAGGAGGAATATAGTCAATGTTTTGCATTCGCTATCAATGGAGTATAACCTTCAAAACTTGTAAATCACAGTATTATATACCTATAACTTATATGATATCATACATCAACTAAACTTGTGGGGTCTCCTGCATTGCAGGTGGATTCTGTACCAACTGAGCTATCAGGGAAGCCCATTTTTTAAAATGTCAACCCTAAATGTCTTATCTTATCTCAAACCTACCCTTTCCTGCTGAAATAAGATGAACAGCCTTGCATTCGTTCAATATGTTCTTGTTAGTTTCAGCATATGGTAGGTGCTCAGAATATAGGCAACGAATTCCAGAATGGAATTTTTTCCCGTGTAATTCTTTTTTTTTTTTTTTTGGTGTAATTCTTACCACCAACGTTCATTGCCCTCACAAGGCACCACACTCAGTGCTGCAGAGACACAAAAAAAAACCTAAGACATCATCTCTGACCTTAAGAAGTTAAAGACCCAGCAGGGTCCATAGCAGAACGTTGAGTCTAAGAAAAGGACAGGCTAGGGTCTCAGAGGAAGATGTAATCAGGCAGTGCAGGAACATTCCTAACAAGCTGGTTGCAGGAGGTAGCATTTGCCAACAGCCAGCAAGGTGTCAGGGCCCCTGACTTGCTCTGCGCGCTGGGAGTCAGCTCTTAAAGACAGGTAGTCAGCTCCTCCACTGATTCCTCAGACTAAGCCTCTGTGGCCAGTGACGTCTCCATAGAATCCACAGCAGAGGCCACAGTCTGCCCGGTGACCCTGGAAAAGACCTCTGCGGGACTGGGCTTCAGCCTGGAAGGAGGGAAGGGCTCCCTGAATGGGGACAAGCCTCTGACGGTTAACAGGATCTTCAAAGGGGTGGCCTCAGAACAGAGTGACACAGTCCGGCCGGGAGATGAAATCTTACACCTGGCCGGCACCACCATGCAGGGCCTCATGCGGTTTGAAGCCTGGAACATCATCAAGGCGTTGCCTGATGGACCTGCGATGATAGTCCTCAGGAGGAAGAGCCTGCAGTCCAAGGGGACCCCAGCTGCTGGAGACCCCTAGGCCCAGCACCAGTGCGGACGCCAGAGCCTACCACATGCTGGTCCCCGAACTGCTAATTCTCAGGGTCACGGCTGACCCCACCCAAGGGAGAATGCAGTGTGCTTCCCGGTGGCTGCTTGCCCAGGTCTGGACCTTCTGGGACCCCTCCCAGTAAAAGGGTGGTCCCAGAAGTTAGGACACAGCCACAGTGGGGTGGCTGATACAAACGACAGACTGCATCTAGAGAGCTTAGTGATAATACTGTGGTGCTGTAAGTAAAATGGATCTATGATTGGATATGAAAAAAAAAAAGACAGGTAGAAGGTCAACAACAGAAACAATGAGAAACAATGTCTCATAAAGGAGATCTCTGACACTTGAAAACAGAGATTGAAAGATATGTAGAGTTTTGATATATCCATAGAGACTGACAGAGGTTCCTGGACTTGTCTATGATGTAAACACAGGTCTTCTGGATTTACTTTTGATTTCTTTGGGTAATTTCCTTACTGAGAAGAGAGATTTTGTAAATATTAAATGGACTTTGTGAGAAGATAAGCATTGAAGTCAGACAGACCCAGGCTGAAATGTTCCCTCTTCTACTAAACAGCTGTCTAAACGCTCCATGACCCAGGCCCTCTCCCCTGGGAGATGAGGCCATTAAAAAGAATAAATAAAACTATGCAAGCAAATATATAACACTGAGGCTGGCACAAAGTAAGGGATCAATAAAGTTTACCTCCTCAGGTCTGCTAAGGATTGGTTTCATTTGCACTTCAGCCAGTCAAGAGTTTTTCCCAGAACTCAGGTCTCTAGCAATGTGTGGCAGTGTGTGCATGCTCAGTCGTGTCTGATTTTTTCCGACACCATGGACTGTACCTAGAAGTATCCTTCTGTCCCTGGAATTTTCCAGACAAGAATACTGGGTTGCCATTTCCCACTCCAGGGGATCTTCCCAACTCAAGAATTGAAACCATGTCCCCTGTATCTCCTGCATTGTCAGGGTCCACGAGTGACTTTACCACTGAGCCACTTGGGCAGCCAGAACTCAGGTTTGAGATTTTGTAACCAAGGGAGTCCTTGAATGAATGGACTCTTTAAAGTTCAGGTCCATACATTACATTCCCCTACCACCCCTACTCCTCCAGGAATGCAGTTAACCCTCCCCAGGTGAGGTTAAGAGAGGAAAAACTACCTAGACAAATTGGTTCATGTCAAAAAAGTTATCAGCTATGTTTGAGGAAACCTACATTTTTTCCCCTTTAATAATAGAGTAAAAAATTAACAAAAACTTTACCCAAACACTATCTGTTCTATTAAGATTACTGTTCAAACAAACAGAGATGATCTGATTAATTCTTTTCAATGATTGAGAATCAGATAGGAGATGGAAAGCTTTTTCTGCAAAGATCAGAGTGAACACGTTAGACTTTGAGGACTGTAGGGTCTCTGTCACGGCACTCAGCTGTGCCACTGTGGTGTGAAAACAGCCATGAACAAAGCTTCATAAATGAATGAGCTTGGCTGTGTTGCAATAAAACTTTACAAACACTGAAATTTGAATTTTATGTAATTTTCGTGTATCACAAAGTATTAATCTTGTACTGATTCCACTCCCCCCCCCCACCATTTAAAAATGCCATTCTTATTTTGTTTTGTTTTTGTTTAGCCACTAAGCCACATCCAACTCTTTTGCAACCCTGTGGACTGTAGCCCACCATGCCCCTCTGTTCTCGGGATTTCCAGGCAAGAATACTGGAGTGAGTTACCATTCCCTTCTCCAGGGGATCTTCCTGACTCAGGGATTGAACTCAGGTCTCCTGCATTGGCAGGCAGATTCTTTACCACTGTGTCACCAGGGAAGCCATGAAACAGTAAGGAGACAGGATTTGGTTCATGATCCTTTGCTTGCTAACCCTGACTTAAATATTTAGGCTCTCACAAAAAAAAAAAAAAAACTCAGGAAATATTTTATCCAAGCCCCGTATGTTATAGCTGAGTATCAGACCACAGCGGGTAAGTGACTTGTTCAAGATCAGATGAGTCTTTCAGATCAGTATCAGAATCTCAATACAAACATATTCAGTGTCAGGTAATTGCTAGCTTAAAAACCAAAAAAGAGAACCACTCTTTCCCCACTGATTACATTCAATGTCAGCCAATTTAACAGCTCCCTCTACCCACACCCCCAGAATGTTTCAGCTTATTCTCTCATTTTACAACTTGGTTATGAGACAGTTGTTTTAAAGATTCTTAGACATGAAATAGGATGAGTGATTTGTGTCACAACAAGGACTGAAAGTGTATTTTCACCAGCTGAATCTTAATAGGAAACATTCTGAAACACTGAAACATGTCTTCAACCTCAGAAAACTATAAAAGACAACAACTGTAACTTCACCTTCACACAAACTACACAAGGAAATAAAAGCTACGAAATGTAAAATGTGATTTTCCCTTTTAAAAATTGCTTTACATATTTTAATTCTTGTATTTCCCTTAGGGGTTAGATATTTCGGTCACATAGTTATCCAATTAAAATGAAAACTTTCTGCTTTATCCTTTAGGCGAGGACAGCTGCCAGCTGTTAAGTTTTATAAAGTCTTTAATCTTGTCCATAAATATTTAACAAGAACTGGTTGGTACACAAGCTGAAGTAAAGTAAGAAATCAAAGAGAGACTCTTGAAAATAACCTCTGTGTTATGTGAAAGCTGTATAAAACAAAAGCCCAATGACCAATGTCTTTTTTTGTTGTTGTTAAAATAACCACTAAAACATTTCTCAGTATTTTGATCACTCCTTTAGCCCATTTCCCCTCACAAATGCATAGATTACAAAGAGATGAAATGTGAGTGTCCATGCCCTTTTCTCAAGGATCCTGCCATTTGTTTCTGAAAGAGAATCGTGAGTTTCCATGGAAACCCACATTGAGGATCTCTAAGCACTTCGGCAGCATTTGAAAATACAGGCTTCTCGTTTTCATTCTCATACACACACACACACCCATACAGACCCACACACACACACACACCACATACTCACACCTAAGCACAGACCACCACCACCACCACAATCTTATGCATCTATCACAACGTCCCAAACAGGCTAAAAACCCAGAATAAGCAGCTAATCATGAAGACACCGAGGATCCCCACCCTCTCTGATCTGCTGGAAAGAGAAGGCTGCTATTTGCCTTGACCTAGTCTTCGGACATCATCCCTTTCCCTCCCGTCCCAATTCCATTTTGCCTGCCTGCAAATCTTCGAGTCGTCTTTAAGTTCATCTTCTCTTCCACGTCCTCCTGGGCAGAGACCCTTAAAGAGTTTTCCTTGTTCATTCTCTTTCATGTAGGGTCACAGACTTTCTAAAGAATGGAGAATTTGTGCTACTGACAGACATCTCTTAAACCAGAAGATATTCCCCACTTGACTCTGTAACTAACAGATTTCAGAATTGAGCACTCCTTGCTGGTAAGAAATTCTTCTTTAAACCTAACTGAACTATTTCAACTGTTAATTAAACTCACTTGATTTTTTTTCCTTGCTCCATCCACAGAAAAGGGAAACATTAGACGTTAACTACTTCCTTTAGATCAATATAGACTGTCAGAGGAAAGACAGAGATCCAAAAAGAGGGAAGAAAGGCAAGAGGGAGAGAGAAAGACTTTAATTGATGCTCCTCAGCCTTCCTTACTCAAATTCAGGATTTTCTAATTCTGGATACTCCAGAGAACCCAGACTCCTTGCTGTGGGAATTATCATGGCCTTTGATGTTGCCATCCTGTAACTCCTGTCCATCCTGATTCTGTTCCTTTATACCAGACCTGCATGTCCACTGTTCACTCAACACTTAAAGCATTTACTCAACAAATGCTTAGGGGGGGCCAGCTATGTATCACGTATTGTTCTCAGCACTGGGCTTGTAGCAATAAACAAGGTGACCCAAATCTCTGTTTACTGACCACCCCCATCTTGACCCAGACTGGCTCTGATTCCATGCCTTCTCCAGCCCACCCCTGACTCATGGTTTGCCCACCCATTTATGATCCTGATCTTTCCCATCCCCCATTGGATGCTAATATTGATTTCCCTTGATTCTAGACTCTTCTTCAAGTTGGTTCAGAGCTTCCCAGTGACAATTTTGTTTTTATACTATCTCAAACTGAGTCCCCAGACACCCCAATAACTTGAGTTAATCTTCATCACAATAGTTTTTAATTTTTTTATATGTTGCATTCTCTGTATGCCAAGTATTATTTAAATGCCTTGTGTATGTGTTAGTCACTCAGTCACGTCCGACTCTTTGAGACCCCACAGACTGTAGCTCACCAGACTCCTCTGTCCATGGAATTCTCCAGGCAAGAATACTGGAGTGGGTTGCCATTCCCTTCTCCAGGGGTTCTTTCTGACCCAGGGACAGAAACCAGGTCTCCTGCAGGGCAGGTGGATTCTTTATTAACTTAGCTACCATCAGTTCAGTTCAGTTCAGTCGCTCAGTCGTGTCCAACTCTCTGTGACCCCATGAATCGCAGCACGCCAGGTCCCCCTGTCCATCAGCAACTCCCGGAGTCCACCCAAACTCATGTCCATAGAAGCCCCATTTAAGTGCCTTACACACATTAATTTACTTAATCCTTTTAACGATACCTAAAATGAGGTACATGCACGTTACCACCATTCTCTGACTGCCAGATGAGTAGTGAAGTTGTGACTTGCCCTAAGTCACCCATCCTCAAATTGGCAAACCTGAGGTTGCCATCCCGCATTTGAGAACTTGGATTTTCAATTGCTCCAGGCACTCCCATTGCTTTTTGTTGTGTTTTTACTCATATTACCTTTCCCCAAGTTCATCTGAAATGTGATCCTTACCATAAAAACTATCCATCACTCAGTTTCCTCTCTCATGTCTCCAATAAAACTTGGTGTCCCTAGG